GCCGAGCAGGGAGCCCGATGCGGGACCCGATCCCGGGACTCCAGGATCATGACCTGAGCCGAAGGCAGTCGCTTAACCAACTGAGCCACCCAGGCGCCCAGAAGGACTGACTTTTCACAGCATTTTTTAAAAAGATAAACAAATCTTTAATCTTTAAGATCCCGTTCCATTTTCAAAAGTAAAAAACAAAACAACAACCAAAAAAACCCACAAAAACTTGGTTGGTTCTTTTTTAAAAAGAACATAAGCTTTAGGACATTAGGTTGTTAAGTTCTGGACAAAATGAGCAAATGTCCATCACTTGCACCGAAACTGCCCTTTCGGCAGGCAAGACAGACAGCACCAATCAACCCAATCAACGGGGACATCCTTTCCCACGGAGCAGGTAGATATTCAAAATCCCTCTCCACACCATGCTCCAGGCAGCCAGTAGGAATCGATTCGTCTTGACAAAGGAGCTGAAACATCTTTGCCATCCCAGATCTCAAGCATGACCTCCAGAAATTCCTGAAACCATTGGAAATGACTCAAAATATTTCCCTCAGGGAGTCTGATCCTGCTGAATCTTATTCTTCCCTGCTAACCTGCCCCCACCACTCTCCCTGTTCCAGAGGGATTTGGAGTCCTTCTAGCTCACCCCCCCTCCTTTTTACGGAAAAAGAAACTGAAGCCCCAGAGATTAAAAGACTTCTCAAGGTCACAGGATGAGTTTGCATCAAAGTCATGGGTGAAATAGAGTGGCTTGAGAGAGGAGGTTCTGGGACCAGGCAGGCCTGGGTGGAAATTCTCCTCTGCATCTCACGAGCTGGGTGATCTTATCGTCCCAAGTGCTAGTTTCTTCATCTACAAAATGGGGCTGTGTGCAATGCCTAGTTCCAGGAGGTCTGGGAGAATCCAATGAGCTAACACATGGAAAGTGCTCAGCACAGTGTCTGACACCTAATGATAGCTTGGTGAGTGTGGTCGTGATGGTGGGAGCTGTCCTGACCGCCCCCAAGAGCCTAAGTCCCAACAAGGCGAAGGAGCCAAAGGGCTAGCACTGTTTCCTTTTCAACACACTTCAAGAAGAAGCTTATTAAACATTCAGGCTGTTTTCAGTCCCTCTGTGGAGTAGGTGAGATCACAGATGTTAGGGCCCACTTGGAAGCCTCGGACAGGGGGCTGCTGGGAACATCTCATCAGATCACATTCGGGAGGAAAGTGTGCAGGGAGGAAAGTGTGCGTCTCATAGTAGGTGTTCAATCAACGCAGCAGTGATTGCTCAATAGAGCATTAGGAGAATCCACTGCTCCCCAGTGAGCAGGGAAGGAAGCTGAAATCGTTGTGCCTAGGTGACCCTGGGTGAGTCATTTCACTTCCACGGCCCTATCTGCAAAATGACTTCAGTAAATTCAACATGTAGGCTTGGGGAGAAAACCCAATGAAGCAATAAATGTAGAAGGAAGGCAAGCAATAGTAACAGTACTCTAAGTGGTCAGGGTAACACCAAGAGTTAGTTTTTATTGATCCTGACGGGCGTCACTTGCGGTCCTACATGCTTTACACGGACTGAATTATCAAGTGCTGCTGTTAATAATTAAGATGATTAAGCAACTTAACAAAGACCAATCTAACCTTGTTCTGCAGGACTCGAGGCCCCCACCCTTGGGGCAGAGACCAGGACCCAGACCCTCTATCCAATCCCCTCCCCCTCGGCAGGCGGAGACGTGTTTGAAATAAAGTTTATTGAAGTTTCTGTC